AATAAAATAAAATAAAATGAATAAATAAATAAATAAATTTCGGTCAAAAATTCGTGGCACAACTTATCCTGAAATACCTTTTCAGCGTGTTAATCAATTTGAAAGATATTTAGTTGGTGCTCATATGCCCTTATGCAGTTGCGAGCGCCGTAAAAACCCTCTACTATAAATAAAATATATTTAGTGCAGCAGTTTGTATCAATTTGTCTTAACTTAATCATATTATTTTCCCTCAACATTGAGGCTAAATTAAAAAATTTTCTTCCCAGACTTACAATTAAAAAAAACAACAAATCTTCTTCACGTGGAAAATGGAATTGTTCACAGCTCTTTCCGCTTCTCAAACACATTTTGTGTACGCGTTTGGCTTACGTCACAGCTCACCAATGACACTTTTTAGTGGCAAAACCTTTACAAGAAATTATTTTTATAGTGCACACTTTTTTGCATTAAAAGTTCTCAAGACTTGCGTTCAAGAAGCTTAATGTCACGATTAGAAAAAAACATGACGGACTTGCTTTTAAAAGCGATATTGTCCCAGCTGTAAACCTTTTAAAATCTGTAGAAACCACCCGCTGGGATTTTTAAAATTAGTATTTATTAAGGAATTTTCTAGAATAGAGGTAACAGATGTTTACAAAAATATTGATCTGTTAAGACAAATTGATACAAGTCACTGTGCAAAAGCTGGAGAGTGTATGTTGGATAGTTGTAGAAATATTTGACATTAAGTTGCGCCACGAAGTTTTGACCGCGCCACAGTTGTGACAGTTCCAATGTGCGACGTTTCTCAATGAACAACCCGTCATCCTTTCACTTTCAATACCTTCATTCCCAACATTTACAGCGACCGCTGAAAGACCATTACAACGATCCCTGACAGACAGACCGTTAATTGCCGCGGTCCGGAGTAGATGAGTCAACATGCCCCAGTGACCGAGTCCTCACTCCCCCACCTCCCCCCCCCCACACACACCTCCCGCCGACTGTCATCCTTAACGTCCGGCCTGTCATCAAACTCCCGCCAACACCTGGAGAGGCCAACTGCGCGCCAAGATGCAAATGTGACCCCATTAGCTCAGCACCTCCAGACGCCTGTCGCCGCAGTCTGCCAGCGCAGACGTGGAAATCTCAGAGACAGAAGGCTCTATCTGCAGTCTTGTGTGCTTGTAGGCCAGTGGTTTGGCTCGTATCATCTGACTTTTATGTCCAATTTAATTAGAATCTAGTTTTGAACCAGGTCTGAGAGATCGGTCACGTTGGTCAGTGCTGGACTTTTCGGTTCCTCTTTGAAAAGTTCAAAAAGTGGGCAAGGTGGGTGGGTGATGAACGAACAAAATAATATAAATAAAATCCCTCTGGAATTAATTATTTTAACTTCAAATCTTAAAAGCAAAAGAATTAATTACGTAATTATGTATCTTCATCCTGTGATATATCTTCCTGGATCCAAGGACGGTTGGCGGGCGCTCCTGGTAGGCCCAGCTTTTTCACTTACACCTTTTTTTGTTTCTGTATGTCTCCCCAGTTCTGTTTTTTCTTTCCTCTCAAACATATATCGTCCTCCC